ATAAATAACTTTATTATAGTATTAAGATTAAAGCTATAAATACTATATAAACACAATATTTTAGCTATATTAAATATATTATAGTTTTAATAAAACATTATAAAATATTTTCCTAGCAACGTATACAAGCTATAAATTCATATTTTATTATAGCTATAAAAAACGCTATAAAAAATTCCAGACTTCTAATAACATGGACCGTCACGACGTACGAAAAATGCTATAAAAAGTTTACGATAGCATTTTTCGTAAGTTATCGTATCCATTATTTCGTGTAGTGTAGGGAGAGATTTTCACATTCTTATAAATGATGTTTCGTTTGTAACTGATATGGGATTTGAGCAACACTATTTTATTTGAATTATGAATTATAATATTTTGATGTTGAGTTAAATTAGGTTTCATGATTATCTTTCTCCAATTCTTATTGTCTAACGGGAGAGCAGATAACTGATATGTTCTACTTAATAAATCTATGACTATAGGAAGAAAAATATTAAAGATTTGAGACAGTTTTTGAGTTGGTGTGAAAGAACATAATCCAAAAGTGGACAGAAAAATGGGGAGTCACATGGATGTTGGAGAATCCCACAAAATCAGAAACCCGACCAACCACCTTATTATATGATCTCTCCTTTTTCATGGTTCGACTGTTCCAATCAAACACAAAGTCCCACTTTTGTTCCTCTTGTCTCCGACCGGCCGGCGACCATAATAATGCCTTTACTTTCATCCCCCCATTCTCTTCTTTTCCCTATAAAACCTCACCATTAAGAAGCTCTCACAAATCACACACACACACAGCAAAACAAACACTTAATCAGCTGCAGATATGGCGACCAATGGAGTTTATCAACTTGAAATCACTGAGCTCAGATTAGGGCTTCCGGGGACTGCCCATACCCCAAGTTTGAAAAATGAGAACAAAAGGGTTTGCTCGAAGAGTAGTACTGACGACGGTGACCGGAGATGCTCGAAGAGAAACCAAGTTGTCGGGTGGCCCCCCGTTTGCTCTCATCGAAGAAGGAGTAGTGGTGACGATAGAGATCTATCTGAATCTTCGAAGATGTATGTCAAAGTAAGCATGGATGGCGCGCCTTATCTTAGAAAGGTTGATCTTAGAATTCTTAAAGGATATTCAGATCTCGGGGTGGCAATGGAGAACCTATTCGACCGTGCAATCGGATGCTCTGACTATGTTTCGATTTATGAGGATCGAGATGGCGATTGGATGCTCGTCGGAGATGTTCCATGGGGGATGTTTATTGAGTCGTGCAAGAGAGTGAGAATAATGAAGAGATCAGAAGCTAAAGGGTCTGATGTTTTTCAAAAGAACTATGAAAAGTTTTCTTTGTAAGTTTTACACATAATATATATTGATCATACCCTAGTTAGAGAAGGAATTGTTAATGTTCTTTGTCTAATTTGACAATTCATTGATATGAATGACAAAAGTGGCAACTTTTCATCCAATTCTCTTCATACTTTATTCATATTGATACATTAATAATCGAGTTTTGAATTAATTAGTGTCGCTTGTAATATTTTCGGTTTGAAACTCCGCACACAAAAATCAATCAATTAAACTAATACTTCATCAATCTAAAATGATCTTGTTTGATAATTTGTATCGAGTCTGTATCAGTGAATCGATCAATCTGAAATCTCCATCAATCCAAAACGATTTTCATCTAATTCAAATTCTAAATACTAATACGGTGGAAATATTAGGGCTAGAGTCTTAGTTACACTTAGCTGCCACCTTATCTATATCCTACCTATAAAGATGACTATTTATTCAAATGTGATCTCGAATATGATCTCAAAACAAGTTAGTAATATGAGTAGTTACTCATGTATTATTTAAAGAGTAATGCTTCATATCCATGATTCATATTAGTATTTGGAATCTGAATTTAGTATTTAATTACCGCACTGCAACAATATTTTAATATATCCTTGACAACATAATCAGGTTATCTACTTATCTTGAAGTACTTATAATAGTAAAAGTTATTCTCATAGATCAACACATGTCTTTTTAGTATGTTTTATCTTCATTGACGCACTTTATAAGAAATTTTTCAAGAGATTATCCAACATAGAATTATTCTAAATCAAACATATTTAATTTTGAAGTTCCTATGATCGATCCATAAAAAAGAATGGTAAACTTAAATTAACTAAACTATTGTTTAGAATTCTATAGATAAGGTAGAGCGTCCTTGGGTCAATATTATAGCACAGAGGGCTTCAGCGCTTCGCTAACACTCAGCTAATTCTTGAACCTTCGCGCTGACCATTCGCTTTATTAGTAAAAGCTCTTCTCTTTATCCCTTACGACGAAAGCCTTAAGCGAAAGATTTGTTGTTTTAGTACTCCTGCGTGCTCGTCAAGTCAACTTAGCGTTTTGATAGTTGAATCTGCGGTTGAAGCTAAATTAAAATTTAAAATCTAAACTATAGGAACTTTAAAACTTCGAAGATCAAAGTCAAGAAAATGTTGAAGTGATAGGGAGTGTGTTCTTGACAGATCAAGAGGAGCTCATCCTCTCTGTCAAGAGGGTCCATCATTCAAAACACGAACACGAATACAAACAGGAACACGACAAGAACAAGAGAGGAGGATACAGAAATGTTCATAATTAAAACAGAACAGTAAACCGTGTGATAGAAGCAACACAATAAGGCAAAATCACATGGGGTTCGTTCAAAAAAGCAAGACAATAATTAATCAAACGACAGTGATCAAATCCCACCAAAACCTCAAACAATTATCAGCCCCGATGTGGTGTCCCACATCTCTTTAAAGAGCAGCCATTGTTTCCTCCACATATGTAAATAAATAGCATCATCACATTTCATAACATTCTCAACACAAACCCCAAATCCAAGGAAGACCCAGATGGCAGCTGAGGGATTAGGCCTTGAAATCACCCAGCTCCGGCTAGGATTCCCTGGTGGAGGTCCGTTCCCGGCGAGTAAAAACAATGAGAACAAAAGGGTTTTCTCGGAGGTGGAAGTAGAAGATCATAAGAGTCACGGCCAGGGGCGGAGCAAGCAGGCAGTAGGGTGGCCGCCCGTGTGCTCATACCGGCGGAGGAACAGCTTGAATTTTATTGCTAATAATGATGATTTTGGGATCTAACGTGAATCAATTTTCAAAGATGATTCCGACAAAGGAATAAACAAAACATATAATTTGGAAATTCAAGCTTTTGCTTATCTTTTTGTATAGGAAATAATGTCACATATGATTCAAATTTTTGGTGGCCTCCAGTTCAATTCATCATGCACCGAAGAGAAGAGATGTGGCCTGATGCATCGAGAAATACATTTTTTGAGATCGTCATGAGTCGCAACGTCGAAAATATAATTTCTTTGGACATCTAGATTTGATCAAATTCTTTGAGCTTATACGAGATGTTGGACTTTACGCTGTCATGAGGATTGGTACTTATGTGTGCACCAAGTGAAACTATGGAGGATTTCCTCTATGATTGCACGATATTGTTAGGAATCGAACTACGAACTGAAAATCAAATTTAAATGAAATGCAATTTTTCAAAACAAAAATAGTGAATATGGGTAAACAAGCCATCCACTTTGCATTGGAAGAAGGGCCAATAATCTTTGCTCAAATAGAGAACGAGTATGTAAATGTGATGACACTTTATGGAGACGTGTGAAAAGCATATATCCATTGGTGCGCTGAAATGGTTGAATCTTTCAATATTGATAGTCCATGGATCATGTGCCAACAAAGTGATGCCCGACCGCCTATCATTAATACATGCAATAAATTCTATTGCCATAACTTTACTCCTAACAATTTTAAGAGCCCACCTGATATCCAACAACCATAATTCAAAATGGAGGATAGTTGCCCATTGATCAAAGATGATATTTCCATTAGAAATTTTGTAAAACTCAACCTAAATTAACGTCGGTTTAAGTTCTCTCTATAAAGTCTGACGTAGGGGCTTTCATTTGGAGCAAGAATCGAGCTAAGTCAAGTCGAGCTTTTAATAGCAAGGTATAGCCTCTAAGATTTTTGGTTTCTTACTCTCGAATTTCTTCTAAATTCGGGAGCCATAGTCCACCATTTTCCTTCAAACTTGCTCCTACACCTTCTAAATAAGATTACCCTCACGTTTGATGAAGGAATCGAATGCTGAAGGTGCCTCCAACACTGTTTTCCAATTCTGGTTGCCATTAAAGGGTTAGGAAGTTGAAACTCGAAAATCCAATTCAAGCTTACACCCAAATTCTTCAAAAGAAACATATCTCGTTTGGTTTCTTTTCTGTACCTCCAATCCAATGAACATTTTCATAAAAGACCACAAAGGCTAACCCTTACTAATAGTTCATTTCCTTAAAAAAAAAATTGAGCTTTTCTTTATATTTAGAGGATAAAGATAGTACTTTCGACGAAGAAATCGGGGGCTAATACATCTTAGATGAGGCTACCCAAGGAAATAAACCTCTGAGGTTCTAGGTAAGTTACAGATCGAGGATCAATTCTAAAAATTAAGACCACACACTTAAATAACATTCCTTCGAAACAAAATCTTTAGCTATATGGAACTTATAAGGAATAAATTTCATGAAGAAATCGGGTCCTGAAAAGCTCTAGAATCGGTTGTCCAACAAAAAGTCTTCTGGTTTGAATTTCTGCCCGGATAAGTTTTCTAGCGAATTTTGGAAGTGTATAACTCACGCTACAATTCACGAGAATGCATGAAATCAATTCCTAGCTCTTCCGTGTAATACTACTTTTAAGCTTCATGAAGAAATCGAGGGAAGAAACATTTAAATCAAAGCTAGGAGGAGATTTTCAGGCGGCGGTGCAATGACTCGCACATGTCTTCTTCCTTCCATAGGAAGAAAACGATAACGTGACCGGTTCAACCGATGGATTTGTTTATTTAAATTTCATAAACATTGTTGTAAAAATACAAAAATCAAAAAAGAAAAACTCATAACTTTATTTGATGATGAACATTGAAATACAAACATCAATTCTACATATTTTCTTTCCCCTTTTTTCCCTTTTCCCTCTACATAGTTAGACACATTACAAAACATACAACCTAAAACATTATCATCTTCTTTGGAAATTAAAAAGGCTGATAGAGATGGCAAATACCAAAGCAAAAAGAACACCAAATCCGACAACCACAGAAGCAGAAATGTCTACAAAATTATGTCTGAAACCAAAATAGAGTCTAACAAATTCTTCCACAGTTTCTCCTGTTTCAAGAACATCCTTAACATCTCCAAATTGAGAGGCAACTAATCCATACAACGTCCACGCCACGGGACAAACCCAGTAGTACCATATCCACCACACTGGAATCCTCTGTCAGTTCATATGCCAAAAAAAAAAATAAGAACAACACAAACAAAACAAAACTCGAACACGCAACCGAAACATAACGTAACGTACCGGTTTCGGGACTACAAATCCTGAGAAGAGATTCCATAATGCAAAGAATGCAAAGGAGATAATTGAAGCAATGTGATGATTTGGTGTCATGGCCACAGCCATCATCCCATAGAAAGTGAAGTACAGCAAAGTGAAGTACATTATGACCAAATACCACAGGAACTTAGCCACGGTCCATTCAAATCCAATCATTGAGTACACTAGGAGACAGTAAACCACTGCTTGGACCAAAACATATGGGAGTTCTATCAGCACCTGTAACATCAAGTAGGATAATTCTTCACTGTCTGCTAAAGAATTTTTCATATGTTTAGATATAGAACGACATTGTTACCATCCCGAATGCATACGAAAAGGCCGAGTACATTCCAGCTGCTCTTTCACGATAAAATACGCTTCGTTCAACGGCGACCACTGGTTGCACATTGAAAGCATTTTGAACTCCCAGGAACAGAGTAGCAGTGTACATTGAACCCATAGCATTGAATAGATCTTGTTGCCTTTTCCTTTGTTACGCAAATCATTAAGTATAGAGACTAAACCGTCACAACTTTAGCATACAACGCGTCAAAAACTTACCTTTTGGAACCAAGGTCCCAAAACATTGTTCCGAACATGAGCGCAATGACGACCGTAAAGAGTAATCTCACGGCCGAGTACGAGGGGTTGCGCCAGTTAGACCAATGTTGCTTCCATAAACAAGCTATACATTGTGTGTAAAGTGATCGCGAGTATTTCGTTGGGAAATATAGGTCTTTCGACCCCGGTGTCGGGACACTCAATTCTTCAACTAGCATCGTGTTCGTCCTGTTCAACATGATTCAAAACGTCAATACCAAGTTATGCATAAGTGGTATCCAATATTGCTGAATTACCTATAAAGTTCAGAGCTTTTATACAAATCTGTGAAGTCAACCCCTAAAGCTAGTTCCTGAGCTGGGGAAGTGACTTCTAGCATCCATGTAGCAGGGTTGTATTGATCCTTTATTTTAGCAACTCCTTTGATTTCCTTATGAACAAAGATATAATGTTATAGAAGATTTGAATGGTTTTATTAAGACATTAATAATCCTACCTCAAAGTAGTTTATTAGATGAAAAGAATGGCGACCCAATGGACCAACGTATATTTCTTGGCCTCCTGGTTTCATCAAGAACAGCTGCAAGAAACAGCTCATACCTATAAGTTTCTTCGTTTTGTTATATACATTTTATAAGTGTTGATTCTTCTATGGTGTGTTACCTCGTCAAAAGCTTCGAAGATGTCGATGCTCGGTTGATGAATGGTGCACACGACAGTTCTTCCAGTATCGACCGTGTTTCGAACGGTTCGCATGACGATCGCTGCAGCTCTTGCATCAAGCCCTGAGGTTGGCTCATCCATGAATATTATGGATGGATTTGCTACAAGCTCCACTGCTATTGTGAGTCGCTTACGCTGCTCGGACGACAGACCGTTTTCGCCTGGCAATCCAACTAGAGCATCCCTCAATGTCTTCAATTCCACAAGCTCCATCACTTCTTCAATGAACATCTGTTTTGTTCACAACAAGTTGCATACATTTGATGAACAACACAGTTAAGAAAGTATGTAATAGTTTAAGTTCAATCACCTTTCTAGTTTCGGTATCGACTTCACGAGGTAAACGGAGCCATGCCGAGTAGAGCAAGGATTCGTAGACGGTAACATGAGGAGAATGGATGTCATTTTGTTCACAATAACCTGAGATTCTAGCAAATGTTTCTTGCTTCTTTGGATAACCAGATATTTTGATGCTTCCTTCAATGTAACCGCCTGTTTTTCTACCAGCCAAGACATCCATTAGTGTTGTCTTACCAGCACCACTCACTCCCATAAGAGCTGTTAAAACACCTGGCCTGAATGCCCCACTTATACCCTTCAGTAGCACCAATTTTTCTTCTACAATACCTTGATTTTTCATCCCCTGGAAAACCCCATTTCAGATCATTAGGATGAACATATTATAAGCTTAATATAGTCGCTAAATGGGCCCGTTGTTAGTAGATATGGTCCGTTTTAGCCCGTTACAAATAACATCAGAGTCAGGCACCGAGCGGTGTGCTAGTTAGGATGCTGGCCTCAAGGGGTGGATTGTGAGATCCCATATCGGTTGGAGAGAGGAACAAAACATTCCTTATAAAGATGTGGAAACCTCTTCCTAGCAGACGTGTTTTAAAACCCCGAGGGAAAGCCCAGAAGGGAAAGCTCAAAGAGGACAATATCTGCTAGCACTGAGCTTGGAGTGTTACAAATGGTATCAGAGCCAGACACGGGGCGGTGTGCTAGCGAGGACGTTGGGCTCCCAAGGGGGGTAGATTGTGAGATCTCACATCGGTTGGAGAGGAGAACGAAACATTCCTTATAAGGGTGTGGAAAACTCTTCCTAGTAGATGCGTTTTAAAGTCGTGAGGCTGACAACGTTACGTAACGGGCTAAAGCGGACAATATCTGTAGCGGTGAGCTTAGACTTGGGCTGTTATACTAAAATTACCTGGGGCATGTCAACAGAGTATGTGATATTTTCAAATGCGATTGAATGTTGCTCAAATGGAAGAATCATTCCTGTTCTACTTTGGGCATTGGCTTGTAAACCCATTTCAGTATTGGAAACTGAGGCCCCTGAATTAGCAGGACGCCGAGCAATTGAGTATCAGCACAAACTTCCTATTGAACTATTACAACTTTTTTAGTACCTCTTTTGTCAATGTCTTCTGGTTCCCCTGATTTAACAGCTTGGCCCTTCCCAAATGCTGCAAAACCAATTCTAAGATGTTAATCTGAAGCTCTTAGATATACATTTGATAAAGCTGTATTGAGGTCGAGATCGTTACGGTCGAGCAACGACAATGCGACAGTGAACAAGAAGTTGAACAAAAACGTATAGCCAAGCAAAGCTCCTACACCAATCCAATACCAATATGCATTTGGGAAGAATCCACGGGACTTCAATACAATAAATCCCAAGGCTTCCTAGAAACAAAGAAGAATTCAAAACATAAGAGCAATGATCCAACCATTCCAATAAGAGCATTCAAACAACTTACATCTGCCCAACTCTTTCCAAGGAACTCATTTACAACTATAGCATTTTGAGCATACATTATTGGTGAAATCCAGTAGCCCCATGTCCACCATTTCTTAATGTCCACTGCACAAAAGAAAGCAAATACGACCATAATCCGCAGCCTTCATGTCGTGGAGCCAGTTTGGTTTCTAAACTATAACAGTCCAAGCTCATCGCTAGTAGATATTGTCTTCTTTGCCCTTTCCCTTTCGGGATTCTCCTCATGGTTTTTAAAACGCATCTATTTGGGAGAGATTTCCACACCCTTATAAGGAATGTTTCGTTCTCTTCTCCAACTGATGTGGGATTTCATAATCCACCTCCTTTAAGGGCCCAGCGTCCTCGTTGGCACACCCCTGTCTGGCTTTGATACCATTTGTAACATTCAAACCCTCCACTAGTAGATATTGTCCTCTTTGGCTCGTAGCGTATCGTCATCAGCCTCGCGATTTTAACACACGTCTGCTAGGGAGAAGTTTCCACACCCTTCTAAGGAATGTTTCGTTCTCCTCTCCAACCGATGTAGGATCTTACAATCCACCCCCCTTGAGGGCCCAGCGTCCTCGCTAACACACCGCTTGGTGTCTGGCTTTGATACCATTTGTAACACCTAAACCCACCGCTAGCAAATATTGTCCTCTTTAGCCCGTAACGTATCGTCATCAGCCTCACGGTTTTAAAACGCGTCTGCTCGGGAAAGGTTTCCACACCCTTATAAGGAATGTTTCATTCTCCTCTCCAAGCAATATGGGATCTCACATAAACTTTCGAAGTTTCATCTCCTGGGTTCTTAAACTTTATGATGTGCCTTACTAAACATCTCAACTTTCAATTTTGTATCGAATAGACCCCTAAACTAAGGCATTTTGTTTATTATGTACAGCAGTAGCGTACCTCGAGACAGGACAAACCCGCCAAGTGCATAGAGGGTCAGAAGTATAAAAGAGCCAACCGTGTTCGCGACAACCAAATTCCGACACAATGCAGCAACAAACCGGAATAGTGCAGAAGCCATCTGGTTTACTAGTAGAAGCAGCAAGAATTGTTTGAAAAACCTGCAGCATTTTTGTTTCCAATCAAAAAAAAGGAAAGAAAATCTTTACAAATCTCATAATGAACATAGAGAGAGAGAACACATTGTATTGGCTAACCTCTCAATATTTGGATCAAATCCAATGCCATAGTAGGTGATTCCAACCCACAAAGCAACTTCAATGAAAGTAAAAGGAATCTTGAGGATCCAATTGGGAAGAGAATAAGCCCATGAGGGATAGAATAAGAGGTCCCTTTGCTTGTAAAAAGTAGGAAGCTTAATTATGGTTAATGAGAGCTCTGATAACCCATTAAACATAACCATAATAACTGAAAAGAACAAAGCACCAGTGTATATTCCTCCATCCACAATTGTATCATGGTGCATCTCAGTTCTTAAGAACACACTCATTGTAACTAGAGCCATTACCAATAGCTGAAAAACCCCAAAAAGGAATCGTGTTAGATACACAGGATCATCTTCTCTTCTTATATTTGGACTAAACTGAAAATTTTGAAACAAATAGGGACTAAATTGAAAAATTGTAACAACTCGAGCCCACCACTATCAGATATTGTCCTTTTTCGGCTTTCTCTTTTGGACTTCTCCTCAAAGTTTTAAAATGCATCTACTAGGGAGAGGTTTCCACACCTTATAAGGAATGTTTCGTTCCCCTCTCCAACAATGTGATCTCACAATCCACCCCCTTGTGAGCCTAGCGTCTTTGTTGGCATATCGCTTAGTGTCTGGCTCTGATACCATTTGTAACAGCTCAAGCCCACTGCTAGCAAATATTGTCCTCTTTGGACTTTCCTTTTCGGGTTTTCCCTCACGGTTTTATAATGCGTCTACTAGGGAGAGATTTTCACACCCTTATAAGGAATGTTTTGCTCCCCTCTCCAACGATATGAGATCTCACAATCCACCCCCCTTGGGAGCCTAGCGTCCTCGTTGCCACACTGCCCGGTGTCTGCCTCTGATACCATTTGTAACAGCCCAAGCTCACCGCTAGCAAATATTGTCCTCTTTAGACTTTTCCTTCCGGGCTTCCACTCAAAGTTTTAAAACGCGTCTACTAGGAAGAGGTTTCCACACTATTATAAGAAATGTTTCGTTCCTCTCTCCAACCAATGTGGAATCTCACAAAAACATAGATACCTGAAACAGTTTGAAAATGTAGACGAAGGAGTTTCTCTTCATTAGAAGGATCTCTCTAGAGAAACAGGCTTTCAAGAGCTGTCTCTTTCCAACACCATATTTGTGGGTTGTCAAAGCGGCTCTATGGCTCTTAGACTTATCAAAAGGAATGGCAAGTTCATCTCCAAGTCCTCTGCCAACATGAAATGATTGAAATGCTACACAAAATTCACTAGGAGTAATGAAGTTGTAAGGCTCCTCTTTGTTTTTCCAGTACTGTTCTTGATCTTTCTCTGATGTCACCTGTAAAAACATCGTCGGATAGCTCGTTTTTTCGTTCTATTTTGAGTTCAACAACACGTGAAAGTTACACTTACCTCTTGAAGAAAATCAGCCACACCCTTCCTCTCAGGACAAACAAACCCCATAGTTTCAAAAAACTGAAGCACCTGATCACGAGGACCCTGATAAACAATTTGGCCATCTGAGAGAAGAATTATGTCATCAAAAAGCTCATAAGTCTCTGGTGCTGGCTGGAGAAGCGAAAGAACTGCAGTCCCTTTGAGAATATGAATACATTGCCTCAATGAATTCACTATTTGAAACGTGGTGGAGCTATCAAGTCCAGTAGATATCTCGTCCATAAATAAAGCCCTTGCTGGCCCAACTAGCATCTCACCTGTATTTCAGTTCAATACAAAACTTGTTAATCGAATTGGGTCGAGGAGTAGTCCAGAAAAATCATGGGTTTATAACAAAGGAACACTATCTCATGAGGTCTTTCGGAGAAACCAAAAAATAAAGTCACGAGAGCTTACGCTCAAAGTGGACAATATGTTTGTGATTCGCAACAGTCGCATCTTTGTATGAACTCATTGAATTACCTGTAGTGACTCGCTTTCTTTGTCCGCCGGAGATTCCCCTTATCATTTCATCACCAACCATTGCAGCAGCACATCCTTCCAGTCCCAAAATCTATATCATTTCAATACTCAGTTATTAATTTAATCTATTATGATGTTCCAAATCTTCATTCAAACACACACACACACATATATATATATATTATATTACCTTCAGGATATAATCTATCATCATACTTTCTTCTTGACCTTCTGTCGCAGCAGCCTGGAAATAAACTCCCTATGTAAGTTACTGTCACTAACATGTTCAATCAAACAGCCCAAAAACATAATGAATGCATTATTCTTCAATTTTATCAAAAGGGTAATGTTCCAATTAATCATATCTATAACCTTCATGAAAGTATCAATATTAGGATCGGGCTTTATATTTGCTTCGAACTCTCTCCTTGACAGTTCTGCTAGCATGTCTGCAAAATATAGTAGCCCATTTTAGAATCTAAAATTTTAATGAACAGAACATGAACCTAAAATCTAATTGGATAAGCATTTGAGCAAACAGGAGGTGTTAAATATTGGTAAGAAAGGGGATAACAAACCATGGCGGGAGCCGACGCCCTGGCATTGTGCAGCGAAAGCTAATGTTTCCCTTACAGTCATTTCTCCAATATGAAGATCAAATTGACTTATGTACGCAGCAGTCCTCTGCGGTACAAATTCCTTCATTCCATGCCCATTGTAGCTCACTTTTCCCGTTGCCTAAATCAGTTTAGAGATTTAATTAACATAAAATTGAAAGATTTAGAATCAATTAGTAACTTAATATTTTTTTAACTTCAAGAACCAAATAATATAAACTTCAAATTAACGTGTAATTTAGTTGAATTTATTTTAACTGGGTCATTGGGTAAAAATCCAAAGTTGTTAGGTGAGATTTATAAAAACAAATATTTAAGTAGACACATCTATAAACAATTATGCAAAGAATTGGAATGAAATGTTAAATATCATAAATGGTAGGGACTAGGGAGTAAAATAACATTTAATCCGCTTAATAAAAATTTTAAATTTTGTTTTGAAAAGTGAGGGGTAGATATGTACTTTTACTCCAGGATCAAGCTTTCCTGCCAGTGCTAATAAAAGAGTGGTCTTTCCAGAGCTTGGAGGTCCCAACAGCAGTGTCATTCTGCCAAAATAATTAAACAATAAATAAATAAATAGCACTAAATTATTTTAAAACAAATATATTTTTTTTTTTTTTTCCCACTAATGTAACTGAATCATTCAGTAAAAATTGATTAGGTAAATAATTTTAACCGTATCTTTTAAAAGATGAAATAGTGATAGCGGGAAAGGTTAAATTTCATATTTATTTTTTTTTTTACAAATTTGAAGGTTTTAATAAAAATATTATATTGTGTTCTAACCTTCCAGGCTTGACGATTCCACTGACATTACGAAGGATTTTTAACGGCTGCTTTCCACTGGAAAACAGATGAAGGTAACCCAACAAACCCTTTGGAAAACAAACAGTAAAAAAAAAATTACATATATATATATATATATATTTGTATATAATCCTTAAAAAGATTATGAATTTCATTAATTATTATAACGTTACCTCCACCATATTGAGTGTAAAATTCACAACTGTCGGCAGAGCTCTGCTTCCGACATGAACATCCGCCTTCACATTCAATTGCTCAAACCGAACCTCAATTGTCGGAACTTCGATTCCAACTCTGAGAATTTAAGGAAACAAAAACAAACAACAAAACATCCACCAAATCAAACCGACGAAAGATCGAACGAACGAACGAGGGAATTTATTGTCCAAGATTGTTGGGAGGGAGTCTATAAGTAAGAAATAGATCTCCATTGTCACGAGTCCTTTTGAGCTTATATTCAAGATAAACAATATCATATCATTACAAAGAATCGTGATTTCTAAAATGGTATTAGAGTCATGCCCTTAATTCGCTTGTCTCGAAGGTGTAGTCAAAAGTGATTCATGTGTCTTTGTTCGAGGAATCCAAAAAAATGAGTCGAATCTCGATTAAGGAAAGGTTGTTCGGGGGCTACATAGACCTTAAAGGGAGGCTTTATAGTGTATGGTTTGAAGGCTACCTAAGTCTTAAGAGAGGCTCTATAGTGTATAGTATACTTTGTTGAATGGGAGGAGCGATTAGGCTCAAAGTAAATAATATCATATTATTATGAAGAGTCATGATTTCTAATATTTACCTTTGAAAGCGATTGTGGAGTTTGAGCAAGAACTTCTCGTTATCCTCTTCAGCAACTTTAAGCAACATCTCCATCAAATTCTTCCTGTTTTGTTGCCCAAGATTCATGATATCCACTTCATCGGCGGCGCCCTCCAAGGTCGTCACCAACCCTTTCCTCAGACGTCTGAACGTCGGAAGCTTTTCAATGGCTGCCCATTTCAGAGCCTCCTCGTCTTCTTCCGCCGCCGATGATCTTGAACATGCATCCATTCTGAAGCTCCCATTGCTCCTAAACGAACTCCCAATCCCCAAATCCATTTCAATCCAAAATAAACTAAAAATCCCCACAACAAATGGGATTCAACTTTGGGGAATTTATAGGCTGCAACCTTAGCCATTAATAAATTAAAAAAAAAAAAACATGACAACTTACCATTCATATTACAATATGATCATACTGTCTAAATTGCTGACTTTTAAAAGTGGAGGTTAGTCATTTTAGAAATTTACGACCGTCTTAATTTTAATATATTATTCGTTCAAAGATTAATTAGGTTGGCAATAAATAGTGTATTAGGTTACCGCTTTGGTCTTCGTTTTTTTTTTTCTTCTTTCATATGTTTTTAGCTAGTGAGGTAGAGTAGAGTTATTTCAATTTGGTATAACTAATTAATATAGTGTTATATGATATTGACGGTAATGTTGAGAAACTAACGAGAAGAAAAAAAATTGTTCGTTGTTAGAAAAATCGTGAAAATTCTAGGGAGGCGTTGGAGTTTTTTTAGATCTCCAACTGACCTTAGTCTCACTCATAATCTACGTTATTTCTTCGTTCACGTAGTCGTACAAATAGAAAATACAATAGTAAAACAATACAATATGGAATTAAATAAAGGGTTCGGTGTGGCAAGGGCAAGCGAACATGAGCAACATACTCTAGATGAGTATGATCGTGACACCAGCCGTCCCTTAATCGCAACTCATCTTTAACTTACTCCAGCTCGCTTAGCTTTCATTCCAGCTAGGTGGCTCGGGCTCGGATTATCTGGGTTGGTTTGACTTCTTGGACTCTTTTCTTACATTTTCAACCCTTACAAAGCTACTTTTGATATTGTTGGGAGTGCTTAAGGTCAGTATGACCCTTGTTTGCTCCATTTAAATTATTTTTTTTTAGTTGAAAATTAGATTGGTTGAAACTTTACGTGAGTTAAGCTCAATAATATTTGACTCGATGTCGTGAATCTTATTAGGTTGAATCAGACTTTGAGGAGCAGATTTGGATTGGCTCTAGGAATATTTAGTAACTTCCGTCTAGACCAATCAAGTAACTGGTTCTACTCTTGGTTTGGTTTGACAAACTGTATGGTGTATATGACATGTGCCCCGTAGTCGTTGCACATGTCATAATTATGATTGTTATGTTGTGTTGTGTTATGTTATGTTATACTATGCTATGTCGTGTTGTGCTATGTTGTATTATGTCATGTTTATAAGCTATGTAATAATGTAATTATGTCGTGTTGTAGAATCATATTTATGATATCGATAGTCTATGATGTATAAACCTCTATACATGACGTCATGTAAGCTAGGTTAACAACGAAAGATTTTATAGAAATTATGTAAGCATGATTCATATGCTCGTTACGTTATAAATTAATGGAGGTTTAACTTACATCATAAACTTATGCCAAGATTTTAAGTTATGGGGACCTCATGCATTTTTTGTATGACATATGCATCAGAATACTTCTTCAATCTCATCATGGTTAGTACAGACACATACATTACAACGTTTATGTTTATCATGATGTTATGCAAGCCCCTTTCCCTCCATGGTGTTCGATAGTGTGAGCATGCGCTAACTCGACGAGTCAAGCTCAAAGGATACGTATACGAGCCTACCTAGTGGGTCCATGTGCGCATGCATGAGCCATGTATAGGGAAGTACTACACATCCAACCTTGTTAGAACTGAAAACCAACTCAAGGTCATACTAGGATGTTTTTAAAAAGATAGGTCTCACAAACCGTAGGTAAACTTATGAGTATTTCTTAAAATACTCAGCATACGTGCTACTCTTATTTTGCAGGTAAAGGCAAGGCATTCCTATACGTATGTTTGACGTTGCAATGAAAGCTATGAATTCAGAGTTAAGATAGACCTATTAATGTTTGTTTTGTAGCGCGTAGGTTAAATCAGGGTGTGTTTTATTTTATTTAAATTTACTGTCATTTATATGATGGTAAAAGACGTGAAAATATAAACTTAAATGACCACACGACATTTTTAACGTGGAAGACCAAAACATCACTCCCTCAAAAATGAAAATGTGAACTAATTGTGCCACGGTAATTAATTTATATTTATTTACTAACTATTCTATTCTTAAGATTGCTCTCATACAGATGTGATCTTAGTTCATTTATGTATCTCTCTTTTACTCGAGCGTCACAAACCCACATCCAACTAGGAGAATTTTCACTTAGTACCCTTTATAATACTAATACAGATCGATACAATTTTCTAAAGTATTTAAAATCAACTCTAATTAGGGTCTAAGATTCAATATTTTTTTCAAAGCGATAATTACAAAAATGACCCTAAAAAATGGAATATGGGCACTTTCCACTCCCATCAATAGGGCCAATTTATTCATACCTAACTACAAATGAAATGAAATGAGTTCAAGGTTTTTTATGCAAAGTTTTATGTTTTTTTTCGAATGTCAACTTCAGACAGTTGGAAAGGGATAACATTTAATTCATTTTGTGGACTAAAAGCCCTAATTAATATTTGAAGTTTCCTTCATGCATGAAACACGAAACATGAAATGAAAATGATTTATGATATCTTACCAAAATTAAATTAAAATTATTTTTCTATTATTTTAAAAATTAAATAGAAGTATTTTATTTATTTGACTACTTTTACGGATAAAATATATTATTTGAGCACCTATATTTCTCTTATAAGGTATCCACACCCTTATACAGGATGCTTCGTTCTTCTCCCAATTGATATGAGATCTCACCGTATTAGTGATTGAAATAATCTCGGATGAGCTAAAACATATGAATCCAACCGTGAGTTAGACCATTTTATATAGATAATTGAAGTAAGCTTGAAGGAACTGAAAGTTATGAACTGAATCATTGAAATAGGCTCGAGAAACCATATGAAATAATATTAGGGAGTAAAAATCCTACTATGAATTCAGATGAACGGATTAAAACCGAACAAGTAGTTTAAGAGATGAAGTTATGTTGGGCATACTAAATATGTTTTCCTCGTGAGCTTTGTGAATACATTTACTACAAAATGTCAAATCCTTTGAATTTTGCTATGAAATTGCATGAAAAATGAGGAGAAAAGGACTGAAAATTTCACAGATCTTTTCTTCACCACTAAAATTATTAGAATTTAGAAATTCATGGATTTTTTCTTGGCCATTGAAATGAGTTCTTCTGGTCCTCGAAACCCTAAACATCGAATACCGTTTTGACACGATATAGATGTCTTAACCAATCAATTGATGTATTTATTTCGGTTTTTGGCCACCAATTCATAAATAGATAGCCATCTTAAGTTTAATGCATATCGATTCATAAATGCATGGGGAGAAATTCTCTTAAAGGTCATCCACATACACGTGTATCTCACTTTTGAGACGTGGATTCTAGAATACATCTATATGTCTAATTCAATTTTTAATAATTCACCTACTCATTTTAATAAATTAAAAACCACAACGTATAATATCAAGTTTTTGCAAAAATTTAAATTTAATTCATAAGAAAAAAAAATATTAACTTTGCCAAAACTCATAAATATTAACCAAAATTTAACTTTAATGTCGTTTTTTTTTAAATTATATCGAAGTTTATATCATACTAACATTTTAAATTAAAAAAATTTAATACTTTTTAAAGGTAAGATGGTAACAATTTAATGAAATTAAAAGTTTAGGTAAAAATTAGGAGTAAAGTTAAAGATTGGGTAATTGAGATTCAAATAAAACAAGGCTCCTCCTCATGATTGAAATAAAGTTTGAATTTAAATTTGTTCATTCAAATTTACCGCTATCATCAATTTGGGCCCAAATACTTTAATGCGGCCCATTTGGTTATTGTGGGCCATCCAAAATCTAGAAGCCATTATCTTTACCCTGCTCCGCTCCGTTTCGTCTACGTGGCAAATGATTTTTTAATACCATTTTTAATTTTAAGAAAAACGATATTAAATCCAAAATCGACCGTTGGGTTCTTTGTGGTACCTAAAAGAATTTTAAAAAAAGAACAGTTATCTTCGTAGCACTTACGCTCCTCTCAGTGTCCTCATCTGAGTCGAAGAAGACGAAGAGGGTTGAAGATAATGGCCGACAATTGCTTGTTTAGTGAAGAAGAGATGGCGATCGACGAGGCTGTTGGCCACCCGCACGCTTACGCAAAGCTCTGCCGCGATCGACAAGCTGGATTGTACACACGTGGTCCTCCTTTCACTTTCACGCCGTATAGTCTGAAGAAACAAGAGGTAGAAACGAATATTTTCGATTTTTTGTTTGTTTAATGTAATTGAAACTTGAGGCGAATGAACGTAATTGAGATTTTAGTGTTTTTCTTATTTGAATTCACAATATCAGAGAATTGAATTGCTCGATTAAACGTTTTAGGGATTGAGATCTTTCTGTTATTTTGGGGGAAATTTTACACGACTAGTCCTTAGTTCATTTCTGTTTGCCAATGTTTGTGGATTTCTGGACAATTCTTCTTAGAAATTTCCGTTTCGGGCGGGGGAATGTTTTAAGATGACATGAATTCTGCAATCTCGAAGTATTTCGAATCTAATGAGTAGGTTAGCAATGTTTGCAGAATTGAATTGCTTGATTAAACGTTTTAGGGATTGAGATCTTTCTGTTATTTTGGGGGAAATTTTACACGACTAGTCCTTAGTTCATTTCTGTTTGCCAATGTTTGTGGATTTCTGAACAATTCCGCTTCGAAATTTCCATTTCGGGCAGGGGGATGATTTGAGATGACATGAATTCTGCAATCTCAAAGTATTTCGAATCTATGAGTAGGTTAGCAATGTTTGCAGAAACCGAAACCTCTCATTCTGAATTTCATTATTGTCTTTAATTGTGCTCGAATGGCTAAGAGCGGATTCGCTCATAACTTCAAACAAATTGACTTTTCTTTTGCCTAAATTCCAAATTGATTCTTCATTATATTGATGGTCTTTGCATAATGTTTCAGACCGCAATAGAAAGGGAGCTAGATCAGTTGTTTCCAATAATAAACCCAAAGGCAAAGCCTACAGCGAAGCCTAAGCTTTTTGTCAGCCTCTTATGGAAGCAACTCAATCATCTCGGGTAAATAGCTGAATTTCCATTTGTGGAATTTCTAAAAGCTTTTGTATGTATCTATTCTCAAGCAACTAGTTTCTGCTATATCAGGAATGCTGGCTTTGATCCTGCCGTAATTCGAGTTGACCATTATGGCAATGTTCTTTATTATCATGCTGATTCTGCCTCACCGCTTGCTTGGGATATTGATCATTGGTTTCCTTGCTCAAGTATGCTTCTATTTTGTTCTAAATTTGTTAATTTCTCTCTCTCTCTCTCTTCCTCATAGTTTTTCTTGCTGAAACACAGGAGGAGGACTGACTGCACCAAGCAATTTACGAATACTACAATGGAAAGCCTGCAAGAGGAAGCATCATAAGTTAGAGTTCTTAGTTCCATGGTGGGATTTTCAATTAGGTATCACTGTAAACCAGTTTTTATCCATCTTTGCTTCATCCAACTCAGATTTCAGGTAGATTTGGTTTAATTTCTTGATTGATGTTCATTTGAGTTCATGAATGGCAAGCTGGTGATGTTAATATGCATGTATTTTCATGATGTAATGATGGCAGGCGCAGAGCATTTTCTTTTTTGTTCTTTGAAGGTGAAAACGAAGAGCTGAATACTTCACAGACGGTTGAATCCCATTCTTTTCCACAACATTTTGTGGAAGCTAAACAGCGACTCGGCTTTGCTCCAGCTGCCATAGTTTTATCTCGAACAGAATGTTATGATTCTTCATCACCTTTGAGATCGTTGGACTACAATAGGCAACCAAGGCCAAGTATCCCTATAATTGGTTTGTTCTACAAAACTATTCTCATTTTCTCTCTGCTCTTGAATCTGTCAAGTTTGATAACTTCGATTTTTTTGCTTTTTATTAATGTCAGCTGCACGAAAAGTGAAACCAGAACTTCTTAAAGAGAACGAAAACCCGGACTTCGTTACGAACCCATACCAAGCAATTGTCATGGCCAGAGATTCTCTAAGACAAAGAGATGAAATGGCAAAGCTGAAGGCAGAAATACAGAGAGTGGGTGATGAAGTGGATGATATGAAACTCAATAATGAAGAAGAGAAGCTCACAATTCAGGACTTGGAACTGAAACTAATTAAACATAAAAAAAGGGCAGAGAAGTGTAGGCGATTAGCCGAGGCACAATCATCTCATAAGACAATGCTGGAGAAGATGATCCGGGATACCATGCACCAGTAAATTACACAACTTCCCTCATTGCAAAAATCAACGTGCAAAGCGGATTATTGTCCAAATAGACTAAAATTGGCTATGTGATTGTTTTCTTGTAGGAGTGTTATTTACAAGGAGCAGTTGAGGCTAAACCAAGCAGCAAGTAATGCGCTAATGGCCAGGCTTGAAGCACAGAAGGCAATTTGCGATGCTGCCGAGAAAGATCTCTACCAGAAGTACAGACAGAGAGATGAGCTAGAGAAACAGCTGAGGCCTGAACACGAACAGGCTCGAAAAAGATCAAGAATGGATTATATGTTATTGGAAGAAACAGACAACAAGACTCCAACTTTCTTTCTACCAGGAATCAAGCCAACGACATCCACACACAAAGAGCTGAGACTGTTTCTAGAGGAAGAACAAAGAGCTTCTGAATCTGCTTTGTCCAAAAATGGAAGTGATTTGGCCATGGAGAAGTATGGTAACCATGAGGACAAAGCAATTATTCCACTGGATGAAGGAAGCTTAATTACTCAAAGGCTTCAAAATTTAAACATAGGAGAAGCAAAGAGACATGACATGCTATTCTCTTTCGTGCAAGATTCGGATGTCGAGGAAGAAGAAGAAGACGACGAGAGTAGGAAACAACGCGGGAAAGGAAATATCGAGAAGTGGGTTCAAATGCTGTTCGAGGAAAACCAAGTAGATGCAGATCTCCAAAATGAAGAAGAAACTGGGACTAGAACAACTCAAGAAATAAGCACAAAACTGAATGCAAACTCCTCACAGAAGGAGGAGGAGGTCTTGACGACTACAGAAGAACAAAACAAAGAAGAGAGGAAAGACAGAAATGTAGGAACTGAAGGCAGCAAAAGAGAAAAAGAAGTGAGCGGGGGGAGTGCAAGGATGTTCAGGAGAATCCCATCTTCACCATCTCTGGTCTTGGGAATGAAAAAGGGAAAGAAACCAATGGTAAGTGGGGATGATGGTGATGTCGATGGCGAAGATGCTTCTGCGAGAAACAGCTTCATCAAGTCTTCTATCAAGACACTCAAGAAGGCAGTAAGGATATGAAACTTGCCTGTTTCCATCATGCCACTATTTGTAAGTCTTGCTTGTCCATATAGATTCTTTTTTCCGTTCCTTTTCTAATCTCTTGAAAAGCCAATAAGTCGGGGAATTTAGGCGCCGCTCCCATGTAAAGGATTCAGTTGCATTTCTTTTCCCGGTTATGTTACGAGGCCTTTTGGTGCGACGTAAATACTTCCAAATTTATTTATTTATTTTAACATTTTAAACCTGGTTGGATAAAAAGCCAGCCAAATCTGACAAATCAGAATTAGACAAAAATCAGCCTTTAGCCTTTAGTCTTTAGTGTGAGATCATATCGGTTAAAAAAAAAGAACAAAACATTTTTTATAAATTCGTGGAAACCTCCCCTAAGCTGTGTTTTAAAAACTGAGAGAAAGTCGAAAGAGAAAACCCAAAAAAGACAATATTACGATTTTAAAAAGCGTCTATTAGGGAAAAGTTTTCACATCCTTGCAAAAAAGTTTTGTTCTCCTCTTCAACTAATGTGGGATTTGTTCTCTTCAACCATTGTGAGATCTCACAATCCACCCTCCATGGGGGCTAGCGAACTCGCACCTTCCTTGGAGGCTAGCGATCTCGCACCTTCCTTGGAGGCTAGCGATCTCGCTGGCACACGGTGTTTGGATACCATTTGTAAAAGCCTAAAGAGAAGTTTCCACATCTTTATAAAGAATGTTTCATTACCATCTCCAACCGATGTAAAATCTCACAATCTACATTCTTTAGGGCTAGTGATCTTTCTAACACGCCGCTTGGTGTCTTGATACTATTTGTAATTGCTCAAGTCAGTCTCGTTCCACACAGTTTTTAAAATGCATATGTTAAGGAGAGGTTTCCACACCTCTATCTATCTATATATATATATATATAATAGTAGGATTAAATTAGATTGAGAAAGAAAAATATATTCTGGAAAAAAAAAAGTTGGATCATACTGTCTTTGCTTACTTATTTCTACGAAACTAACACAAAATTCTGACCCAAACAAACCAACTTCTCCCTGTTTGTTTGAATTAGCAATGAAATAACAAATCTAAGCGTTGGTGGGTGCTGAGGTTTCAGATGAACTGCTTGCAGAATCACCTGTTGTGGGGTTCAAAGGCGAGCGACCTGAGAGGGAGCCATTGTCACCGTCGTTCTGCGACACAACCGGGATCTTCACGGCTGATCTTTCCAACTCCTTCTCAAGCTCTTCTTCCTGACGCAGTGCTGAGAATTGGCTGTCTAACGATCTAGCTGCTCCTAACCATGCCAGGACGATAACCAACAGGATGCCTCCAAGGTATGGAGTTGAGTTTGCAAGAGATCCGAATGTCAAGATCATGAACTGTTGAATAAGTGCGCCTCCAGACTTCCCCAATGGGTTGCAGACGACGTCGATAGCGGCCTTCCCTTTAACCTGAAGGACGAGCATTAAAAAATGAGCTCTCAAGTAACGATTTAGTTCGTCGAGTACGAACAAGTCATGAAAGTATACCTTGGTATCCTCATCCAAAGGAATGTAAGCCATTTCTTTGCAAGGATCAAACAAACTGTATTTAGCACTCTTGCTGAAGATGTTTTGCATAGCACCCACATAAACAGCAGCAAGAAGCGGAGTTAATCCAAACTGGGTAAGCATAGGTGCGATCGGACCTCCGAACAAAATCAACGAAAAGAAAGCAACTCCAGTAATGAGAAGCACTGTGGGTGTAATGTTGGCTGCAACTCCCCATCCGTATTTGTTGAATATATATTGACTTAGCAACATCATTACGAACGTTACTATTCCCGTAGCGGTAGAGAAATCACCCATGAAAGAAGAGTATTCATTCGGGCTCGGAAACTGCACGGTTGGAAAAGAGTATTTTTTACAGAACAACAAGCTGATTGATATACAGACATTCCAATTTCAGATGCAACAAACCTGTGCTTTGAGCTTCGATTTCCATGTAACCTCGACGAGGTTGATACTGATTCCATACGCAACCACCAGAGTGGCAAGATCCCGGATGTATCTCGAAGATGCCAAGAATTTCAAGCTCTCCATTGTCCCCATGTTAACCTTCTCCTGTAAATGAATGCAAGAATCATGAGCTGACACGAGTATCGTTAGCCAAAGTAAGACTTGCCCGAGCAATGCAAAAGCCAGGGGCTAATATCATATGTTTCTTAAGACGTTACCTTCTTCTTCTTGCTGCGAGTCGGAAGAGAAGCGAATTTATTCACCCACCAATAGAGGAAACAAATGGCAAGCCCCATACCGACCACGATACTCATCATTGCTTTCAGAGATATCGCCCATCCATCAACTCCAGGACCCAAGTGTTTCCTCATATTCGAGAAATACTTCACGGTTCTGCCCGAGAAAATAAGGGCAACATTCGCACCAAGTCCGAATAGGGGATAGAACTTTTTCGCTTCGTCGACAGTGGTAATCTGCAGAGAAATGACAATCAAAGAAGAGAAAATTGAAGAGCCAATTCTTTCAAACTCCACTTGCTAAACATTGTTCATACTTATTTTGGCCACAAACAGATTCAATAAACCTATCAAGAACATAAGCTCAACAACTAAATGAATATCAGCACACTCAGAGCAGTACAATGATATTAAACATGAACTCAAAACATATTTTACAAGAGAATGAATCCAGCAGGAACAAAAAAACAACATCAAATCCGCAGTCAAACAAGATAAAAATCATCAACAGCAATCAAAAACACAAAAACCACATCATAAACCATAAAATTTAGATTCAAGAATCAAAATCAAATGATAAAGCTCTAGAAATCTTTACCTGATTGGCAAATCCCCAGAACAAAACAGAAACCACCACACTTCCCCACAACTCAGCCATCACATAAAACAAACAAAAGCTCCAAATCCTCATAATAGCAAGAGGGCCAAGGAACCTCGGGCCAAGCGCGTTGAGAAGCTTATCAGCAAAAGCTTGAGGGTGAATATAATTGCTAAGAGGATACAAAAGAAACCCAAAAGCCCCAAAAAAGGCAATGAATGGAACGATGACAGTGTAGAACAGAGCCTGTCTAGGCAACGCATTGGCTAACTTAGTGTACAACAACATGAACCCAACAGCCATAGGCAAATTAACCCAAGTCTTCAAGAATGGAATAATCTCAGCACTGCTACCTTTAGCAGTCACAACCAAAACATCCTTCGTATCCCTAAGAATTGTGTAATTAAAAAGGATGCAAAAGAACATAAGCCCAAGAGGGATAATCTTTTTGAGGGTTTCAACTTCCATCCCCAAAAATTTGGGGTTCTCAGTTTCACCAAACGTAGACAAACCATCGGAATCCGCCGCCGCCGCCGCGGCTTCAGCCCTGCAGATTAGAGAAACTCGTTGTTTGAGAGAAAACGAAGGGGTTTTCGATTCAAATCCCTGAAATCTTTGAAACCCATTTGAGGAAAGAGAAAACCCAGAAAGATTTCGAGAATTTGTGGATAAAATCCTTTGTTTAAGACCATGAGAAGGCAATAGACTGCGGGTTTTGGGATTTGGGGGAAAAGAAAGAAGCCCTTTGCCCTGCAAAACAGCTTCCATGTCTCTGTCTCTCTTTGATCCCTTCTGGAAAAACCCCCAAATGGATTGGCGTTTCAAAAAGAGAGCATAAGAGAGCAGAGATAAGGAAGATAAGAAGATAGCAAACGAATTGCAATCTCCTTCTCCAAAGGATGGGTGAGCGTACAAATATCTTTCATTTTATACAAAGAACTGAAATCAAAAACCCTCTTCACAGAACAAACAGCCAAAAAAAAATTAAAAAAAAATTTAAAAGTTGGAAAAAAAAACGGAAGGAATGATATTAAAAGAAGATTTTTCTCGCAAGTGGGTTAATTTTCTCACTTTTTTTTTTTTTCTTCTCATCTTATTATCAGTCGTTTAAAGGGTAAAATTGTTCATCGGAGTGTTGGGGGTTTGATGAGTTCAAATTATGACCAAATTGTAACCGTTAGTGTTAGCTCTCCTTGTTTTCAACCAAAAATAAAAAATAAAAAAGTTTGGATTTTTATCATAATATTATATTTAGTGAATTCAATTATTTATTTATTTTTTAATCAAAATATATATTTTATATAATGGAATATTGTCATCATTTAGCTATGTGTAAAAAACAAAAAATAAATTTAATTCAGGGAAGAAAAAAAAAACAACTGATTTGGTTCATTCCCTAAATTTATATCTTAGCATTATTTAAATGAAAATTGTAAAAATTGAATTATAAAAATTCATTAAAACACTAAAATGATATTTTTGTGCTTTAAAAAATGAAGATTTTGTGTGCTTTAATTTGTGGAAAAAGGTTAAAAGAAATTAATGTATGGTTAGCAATAAATAAAATAATAAAGATAAAAGTCACAATTAGGAAATTGAAATGTCGAAAATACCCTTTCTCTTACGATATTTGTGAGCTTTTGCCAGATGGTCATTAAAGTGCCACGCTCCTTTTTTTGCCCTTTTTCCCTTTTTCTTTTGCAATTTCAGCTACAAAACAATGGAATATTATTTGTCCACCAAAAACAACAACAATCTCATTTATTTCTTCTTCTTTTTCTTCATTTTTTCTGTAAAAAAATAAATAAATTTATATGTATATTGCCAGATATGACTTACGAGATCTCGCTGGATGTAGATAAAAAAATTTAGTTATGAGAGATTATTTTTCATTAGCTAAACCGAGACACAGACGATCGATTGAGATAAAATTAAAAGTGGATAAGTTTTTTTTTTATAATTAATTTACAAATTTTGATTCTTTTTCCGTTGGTGAAATAAATATTAAAAAAAAAATAGAAGAGGAATTACTATTATTTTTATAATATATATATTAAAAAGAAAAAAACCCACCCACCCCGACATTGGCCAGGAGTAGGATGACTGGTTCCACGATTTGGAGTCCAGGTCAGCAGTAGTGTACACACGTAGTGCTGACGTTGCACCCGGCGTGGTTTTGCACAGACAGCTCAAATATACTCTCTTTAATTTATTTTATTTTGAATATCCTTAATTAATTAATATAGTTAGTTATGATGAACGAATAATAATTTATTTAAATATTTTCAGACATAAAATTTTATAAATAAATTTACTACTTTTTTAGTAAAATTATTAATTAATTACTTAATTAGGATTAATAAACTTATAAAAACAAAATTAATTTTCAACCATTATAACTTACTTGGACTAATTTTAACTCCCTCATTCATTAATATATCATAATTTTGAAGTATAATTAATGAATTCAAATTAAAATTGCAATTAATAATAATGAACTATAACTAATAAAATTAATTAAAATATTATATTATAATTATTTTTATTTTATTAATAAATTATTATAATTGTATAAGATTTATGAGTATCTTTCAACTAAATACTTACCACCAACCAAAACTTTATATAATTGTATTAAATTATTTGAGGATAATTATTAAGATTGATGGTAAGATAAACTAAAAAATTAAAATTTAAGGGAGATGAATAAAAATAATTAATGAAATTTTACTTTGATAATTTGATTTAAAAATAAAATAATAAATAATAGTTAATTATATAAAACTAAATATTGCAATAAAATTGTTGGATACACTTAAATTTTGATATCATTTCTAATGTTTTACAAATATTTTATTCATCTCGAATAAAGCATACAAATAAACAATTCAACCTATATTTTATAATAATTTACTAGCCACATAAAAAAAGTTATATATATTAATCTGATAGACATTACAATTTCTTCTACAAAACAATCACATATATCTATGTTCATATTTAACTCAATAAAATAAAAGATACATAAAAGAAAAATAATTTAGATCTCTAAATGTAGGAATAGTATTTTAAATTTAAATAAATTCTCCTTTTTTTTTTATATGGGTTTAATTAATTATAAAATAGAGAAATTATAAAATTCTAAAGAAAAACAATAATAGAGTTATTATTATTTTTTATCCAAATTTATTTTATGGAATCAAAAGGTAAATTATAATATCTATTAAAACTAATAGACAAAATTGATATATATATATATATAAATAGAGATAAGAATAAGAAATAATTGTCATTGGAAATAGAAACTCCTTCTGAAAAGGAAAGGTGGATTTGTCGGTGGAGTAAAGAAGTGAAAGTCCGGCTTATTTAATAATTAATTAATTAATTTATTATTATTATTATTATTATTATTATTGCTTTTGGGAACTGAAATTGGGAAGAAAACAAATAAAATTTGGAAAAGAAATTGCTTTTGGGAAACTTGTTTGTGGTGCTTGCAAGCTAAGCCAACCCCCCACCCACCCCTCCTCCCTTCCGCTCACCATATTTGAACCTAATCTCCTAATAAAAAAAAATTTTAATCTTTATTTATTTTTTAAAAATAAGGATGTAATTCGGTTGGTCCAAATTGAAATTTATAAATTTGAATTTCCAATCAAATTTGAAGGTTAGATCGTCAAATACGGCTGGTTTTGGAACGTTTTAAGTCACAGAGCCGCCGCCATTAAAAAAAAAAAAAAAAAAAAACCCCACATATTAATTGGCTTTTTTTTTTTAATTTTTATTTTTCTAAATAATTTGAAGAAAAATTAACTTTTAGACCTAAGATTTAGTTTATTTAAGTTTAAAAAAATGATTTTTTTTTTTTTAGAGTTTTTCATTAATTTCATCATATGGTCGGTTGAACTAACTGCAAATGTTTGGTTCTTAATATTTTTTAAATTTTATTTAAAAAATAATAAAAAATAACAGGTATATTTGGAAAATCTTTAAGTGTTGGTACTTTTAAAAGAAATGGACAGCTAAAAAAGGACACTAATTAAAATTAAATGGACAGCCACAAAAAATGGAGGATGCTGATTTCTTTTATTTCTTTTCTTTTTTTCCTTTTTTTTCCAATCACAACGTCCTACCCTAAAAAAGAATATTCTTTTAAACATTTATCTCATATTTAGATGTTTAATTGCTTCACCCAGATTAGTAGCCATTGCATATGGTCCATGATTTATTCAAACTATTCACCAACATAGAGTTAGGCAATCTTGATCTAGAAGAAGTCATCAGAGAGTAACCCTGTTTTTGAAAATAGATGAGTCACTTAGATTTGGTTTGTTATTACTAATATATTATATGCATACCGACATCGACAGGAGAGTACTTATTGGGTATTTATAATACACCCTCTTTTCAAAATTACTATCAAATCTGTAAGGCTGCGACATAGGAGTGACAAGTAGGGTTGAGAACTACGAACCGACGACCAAGTCTACAAAAATGAAATGCAATTTTTTCACAACAACAAATAGTGAGTATGTGTAGACAAGTCAACCTCTTTGCATCACAAAGAGGGTCGATAATCTTAACTCAAATAGAGAACGAGTAAGAAAACGTGATGACACCTTATAGAGATGCAGGAAAAACATATATTAATTGGTATGCTCAAATGGCTGAACTTCTCGATATTGGCCTTTCATGGATCATGTGCCAACAAAGTGATGTCTCATAGCCTATCATTAATACATTTAATGGATTCTATTGCGATAACTTTACTCCTAATAGTCCAAAGAACCCAAAGATCCTTACAGAATTACAAAAGGCGTAGCATTTTCTACGGCAAGATTTTTTCAATCTTGTAACGTTGTTTTAACAATTATTACATGTATCATAGAGGTACCAACTTTGGAAGAACATCAAAAGGTCCATTCATCGCAACGTCTTATGATTACAATATGAAAACTTGAATCAACCAAAATTGGGACATCTCAAACAACTTCATGCATCAATCAAGCTGGGAGAAAATATTCTCACTAATGGCACCCACTCAGACCGAACCTTTGGTAGCTCTATAACTTTGACAAAATTCTCCAACCCAAGAACATGGGAGAGGTTCTTCTTTTTGAGCAATATTGATGACAGAAACGATGTCACTATAGATTTGTAGGCAGATGGAAAATACGTTGTACCAGCCTAATCTGTGAGCATTCTTGATGTTTGCAACACTGCAAAGGTTAATTCTCAGACATCATCGAAGGAACAAAATGAGAAGGAATGGGTAAATGGGCAAAGCATATGCCGATTTACGCCTTCTTTCATTGCTAGCAACGGTAGTTGCAGTGTTACTTGTGACCCTAGCAAATGTGTTGGAAATTGTGGGAATCCTTCTCAAAGATGGTATCACGTCCCACGATCGTTTTTTTTAATGATACAAACACATTAATTTTATTCGAAGAATTGAGTAGAAATCTTCAACAACTTTCAGTTCAAACTATTACTGTAGGATATGTACATGGAAATGCTAATGAAGGAAGCACTTTAAAACTCAATGTCCAATCAAGCCTATTTGAAAATTGATCTTTGAATACTTTAAGTACTACTTGGTCTCTTTGAATGTACCGTAGAATACCAAGACTCAGTGCATCCTAGTTCTTATTTACTAGTTCAACACATGCCTATAAACCATCTACTTATATAACCTTTAATACACGTTTGCAATCCACCGGACAGATTTTAAATTTCAAATTTACTGTTAAGACTATTTTAAATCACTC